ACTTGTGAGGCATAAGCAATTAGGAAATAACACTTACTACCCAGGAAAAAATAAAGATGTGTTACACAGTGTTCATTTGATCATCGCGCTTGCAGCTGCGGTTGAAATTTTGTCCCCCCCACCGCCGCCTCCCTTTCCGATGTCCTGGGGAATTTGGTGACTGTGGCTCGTGCAGCTGCCGTGGCTGCATTTGGGCTCCCGTGACATGGAGCCTCACAGCTCATTGGGACCTTCCTGCTGAAATAAATGCAATCTAAATTTAAATCGTATCACTTGGGTCCGCAGCCCAGACGTGCCGCGAGACCCTGCCTGGCGCGGGAGGCATTACATCTGGTCGAGAGAAAGTCGTGGGCCCATTCTCTGCGCCTGCAGAGACAGGAACTGCGAAAGCTATCCGCGATCACAATTCACTCTTCGGTTCCATCAATAAAGGAACTTGCAGCTGTTGTTATTATTATTACCGTTCCACAAAGAGTGTTGATCCGATCGTCGAACCCCAAGAACAGATTCGCAGGTATCCTGATCATATCTGTAAGATATCTTGGGGGAGAGGAAGCCTATCAGCTGAGATAACATCATAGGGCAAGGTGGTGTTGACCCTGTTGGGGCTGTCATGCCTCAAATATCGGAGGAAGTACCCGCACCCTGTGAGCTCGCTGACTGAGGTGCCATCCGTTGAGCAAGTGCGAATAGTCATCCAGAGCCTGAGACCATGCAGGTGACGCGCCGGGCTGAGATGACCTCCCGCGTGATTCGCTGAGAGTGGCGGTCACGTGCAGGCTGCCCTGTGTGACGTCATCACAACCGCTTGGTTCCACACGCAGGTCGGCAGGCAGACAGCAGCGCTCATGCCCCATCACACCCACGCCCCATCACACTCACGCCCCATCACACTCACGCCCCATCACACTCACGGCCCATCACACTCACGCCCCATCACACTCATGGCCCATCACTCTCACGCCCCATCACTCTCACGCCCCATCACACTCACGCCCCATCACACTCACGGCCCATCACACTCACGCCCCATCACTCTCACGCCCCATCACACTCACGCCCCATCACACTCACGCCCCATCACACTCACGCCCCATCACACTCACGCCCCATCACTCTCACGCCCCATCACACTCACGCCCCATCACTCTCACGCCCCATCACACTCACGCCCCATCACACTCACGCCCCATCACACTCACGCCCCATCACACTCACGCCCCATCACTCTCACGCCCCATCACACTCACGCCCCATCACTCTCACGCCCCATCACACTCACGCCCCATCACACTCACGCCCCATCACTCTCACGCCCCATCACACTCACGCCCCATCACACTCACGCCCCATCACACTCACGCCCCATCACACTCACGCCCCATCACACTCACGCCCCATCACACTCACGCCCCATCACTCTCCACACTCACGCCCCATCACGCCCCATCACACTCACGCCCCATCACACTCACGCCCCATCACACTCACGCCCCATCACACTCACGCCCCATCACACTCACGCCCCATCACACTCACGCCCCATCACTCTCACGCCCCATCACTCTCACGCCCCATCACACTCACTCCCCATCACTCTCACGCCCCATCACACTCACTCCCCATCACTCTCACGCCCCATCACTCTCACGCCCCATCACACTCACGCCCCATCACACTCACGGCCCATCACACTCACGCCCCATCACTCTCACGCCCCATCACACTCACGCCCCATCACACTCACGCCCCATCACACTCACGCCCCATCACACTCACGCCCCATCACTCTCACGCCCCATCACACTCACGCCCCATCACTCTCACGCCCCATCACACTCACGCCCCATCACACTCACGCCCCATCACACTCACGCCCCATCACACTCACGCCCCATCACTCTCACGCCCCATCACACTCACGCCCCATCACTCTCACGCCCCATCACACTCACGCCCCATCACACTCACGCCCCATCACTCTCACGCCCCATCACACTCACGCCCCATCACACTCACGCCCCATCACACTCACGCCCCATCACACTCACGCCCCATCACACTCACGCCCCATCACACTCACGCCCCATCACTCTCCACACTCACGCCCCATCACGCCCCATCACACTCACGCCCCATCACACTCACGCCCCATCACACTCACGCCCCATCACACTCACGCCCCATCACACTCACGCCCCATCACACTCACGCCCCATCACTCTCACGCCCCATCACTCTCACGCCCCATCACACTCACTCCCCATCACTCTCACGCCCCATCACACTCACGCCCCATCACACTCACGCCCCATCACACCCACGCCCCATCACACTCACGCCCCATCACACTCACGCCCCATCACACTCACGCCCCATCACACTCACGCCCCATCACACTCACGCCCCATCACACTCACGCCCCATCACACTCACGCCCCATCACACTCCACACTCACGGCCCATCACACTCACGCCCCATCACACTCACGGCCCATCACACTCACGCCCCATCACACTCACGCACCATCACACTCCACACTCACGCCCCATCACACTCACGCCCCATCACACTCCACACTCACGGCCCATCACACTCACGCCCCATCACACTCACGGCCCATCACACTCACGCCCCATCACACTCACGCCCCATCACACTCCACACTCACGCCCCATCACACTCACGGCCCATCACACTCACGCCCCATCACACTCACGCCCCATCACACTCCACACTCACGCCCCATCACACTCACGGCCCATCACACTCCACACTCACGGCCCATCACACTCACGCCCCATCACACTCACGGCCCATCACACTCACGCCCCATCACACTCACGCCCCATCACACTCCACACTCACGGCCCATCACACTCACGCCCCATCACACTCACGCCCCATCACACTCCACACTCACGGCCCATCACACTCCACACTCACGGCCCATCACACTCACGCCCCATCACACTCACGCCCCATCACTCTCACGCCCCATCACTCTCACGCCCCATCACACTCACTCCCCATCACTCTCACGCCCCATCACACTCACGCCCCATCACACCCACGCCCCATCACACTCACGCCCCATCACACTCACGCCCCATCACACTCACGCCCCATCACACTCACGCCCCATCACACTCACGCCCCATCACACTCACGCCCCATCACACTCACGCCCCATCACACTCCACACTCACGGCCCATCACACTCACGCCCCATCACACTCACGGCCCATCACACTCACGCCCCATCACACTCACGCCCCATCACACTCCACACTCACGCCCCATCACACTCACGCCCCATCACACTCCACACTCACGGCCCATCACACTCACGCCCCATCACACTCACGGCCCATCACACTCACGCCCCATCACACTCACGCCCCATCACACTCCACACTCACGCCCCATCACACTCACGGCCCATCACACTCACGCCCCATCACACTCACGCCCCATCACACTCCACACTCACGCCCCATCACACTCACGGCCCATCACACTCCACACTCACGGCCCATCACACTCACGCCCCATCACACTCACGGCCCATCACACTCACGCCCCATCACACTCACGCCCCATCACACTCCACACTCACGGCCCATCACACTCACGCCCCATCACACTCACGCCCCATCACACTCCACACTCACGGCCCATCACACTCCACACTCACGGCCCATCACACTCACGCCCCATCACACTCACGCCCCATCACACTCCACAAAATCACCGCGTTCACAGTAAATGTCGCGCTTCATTTCGCGTGCCGCCACCGCCGTCGCTGTTTGTGTCTCGTGGCAGCGCCGAGTGGCGCGCGCGGCAAATTGAATGAAATACAACAACAGCATCGCGCAATGTCACCTGGCTCAGGGGCGCATGATCCAAGGTGTCGCGCACCCGTAGCGATGTAACCCACAGCGATGTCACCCACAGCGAGGTCACCCACAGCAATGTCACCCACAGCGATGTCACCCATAGCGATGTCACCCACAGCGATGTCACCCGTAGCGATGTCACCCGAAATAATGTCACTGTAAATGAGGAGTGTGTTGTAGCTGATGAATGAGTGTATTGTAGCCCTACCTCGAACCTTACCTCTGCCCCTACAGGAGATCTTCTGCTCAATTGAGCCACATTGAGGCATTGATGCTCAACTCCGGTTTATATTCCTGCAGAGCCGGTGGTGGAAAGTCCACGTTCCTATTGGAAGGGCGAGTCTATGCGTGGGACGAGTGTTGTTGACTTCCCCCACAGAGCACTACTCGACGTTTGCCCTCGGTAGCTCCTCTCGTGTCTCCATGGCGACGCTCTCGGTATCCTCGGGGGGGGGGGTACCCATCGCGTTCCATCGGCAGTGTCCTCCGGTGGCCCCTCGCGTCGTCCACCACTCGGCGCGCCCGGACCCCGAGTCCGATCCCCCCCCCCCCAATTCCTCCTCGTCCCGTGACCCCCGCTCGGCCTCCGTGCTCCTCGCGGTCGGCGAGGGCGAGCCGCCGGTACCTCCCAGCGCGGCTGATTGCCTTGGACCTCCATCTCCTCTCCGCGTCTGACCCACAATAAATGTCACCAGACATTGGTCACATTTGTTTTATTTTCTCTGGGAGTTTTTGAATTAAAGGGAGAAGCCAGGAGCGGTCAGGGGCCATGGCTGCGGGTTTGGGGACAGAGATGAAGGTGGTGGGGGAGCGGCGGCGGGGGGGGGTTGCGGCTTCTGACGCTGCCGCCCTCAAACGACCTCTCCCGGCCACGGGAAATGAGAAACCGGTGCACGGGTGTCTCGGCGCCGATTGTTTTCGCCGTGCGCGCTCCCCGGCGCGGAGTTTGCCTAGACAACTCGGCGCGTCGCGTCTCGTCGCGATGAAAACAAAACCAACGACTGCGACACTGCGTGCGTCTCGCAGCACGGCGATTGTTATTTATTCACTGGCGCCGCCAAGTCTCAGACGACCTGAATATCCGTGCGTGTCGCCTGCAGGGCATTGCGGGGAGAGTGACGCGCACGTGTCTGCCCCTCCTGGATGACCCGTCAGGCCGCATGGTGATGGTGAGAACGTTTTTACTCGCGCACTCACTCACACGCTCACTGACGAATACAGACAAAGATCCCCCCCCTCCCCCCGTAGCTTGAGAGGAACTGCTGGCGAGCATCTGATGAAGGCCGGCACGGCGCACGAGTGTGGGGTGGCGTGGTTAGCCACGTTCCTGATCGCCTTTGTCTCCCCACACAGCACACCAGGTGTGCATTTAATGCCGAGTCTACCTAGGGAAGGTCCACAACGGTTTCGGATATTCACCACCACTCCCTTCCCCCACACATTAACAAGCGTGTGTTTAGACGATTTGGCCGCTGCTATAAATCCCCACGTGTGATGATGATGATATCAGCCACTGCCACGAGCTATCACGTGTGTCCAGGTCGCCTCTGAAGAACAGCTGATAGCTCAGTGGGGCTTTGCCGGGCAGAAATAAATATAAAATGGTTTAAAAATAGTCACAAGCCGGCACACGCGCACACGCGCAGCTTAACGTACAACTGGACATCCCCATGCACGCGTGCTCGTTGTTGAAACGTTCTGCATCTTCGTAGCTCATCGGATTCCTACTGCAGTATGAATAAATATTCTGCTTCTAACGCGCAAGGTCACACTGCTCACTGACACGAAGACAAAGATCCCCCGTATAGCCATGAACAGACTTTTGGGGCAAGTGCTGTCAGTGGACATCACACGAGGGAGTGGGTGGCCAGCACCGCACTCTGCAGCCCTCGTCTCCCCGGCGCTGACGCTGACTCCACGCCGCACCCCGAGGTGCTCGTTCAAGGTTGATGCGACCTAGGGAAGTTCCGGAATCAATCACAGACAGTCGTCACCGATGTTGGCTGTGGGCGGGAATCAGAACTCAGGGGGCAGATTTCGCAGCGCAGTGCACGAACCACTTCACCACCATTCACACACTTACAACAACCGCCATTCGCCACTAAGTAGTGGTGACGTCACCACGATGCTTGTGCCAGGCCATGTGCACCTTGAGGCCACGTGAAGTGTCGAACACCCGCTGGCAGGAGGTCACGGGGCAGACCCAGGTGCCACGAGTCGACTGACTGAGATGACCGAGATGACTGGCTGATGCACCACCTGTGCCCCCTACTGTGCCAACTTGCTGTGCTTTAGCCACCCGGTGCTCCGTTCGTTATTGTGAGCGTCGCTCCTCCGCCCTCCGTTGTTGTTGGAGGGCGACTGCCTCCAACTGGCCAGTAGCGTCCTTCATGAGCCTCCTCCACAGAGGCCGATCTTGACACCGCTGGTACCAGTCATCGGCAAGTCCACTCAGCTCAACGTCCTCCTGCACCACATCACTCCATCTCTTCTCTAGCTCGTGCCGCGCCCGTTTAGCCCCCTCGATCCGGCCGAACAAAAGCTGTTTAGGCATGCGGTGGCTGGGCATGCGGGCTACATGACCCAGCCAACGCAGCCTGCCGGAGGAGCTCACCAATGGGACTTTGCCCAGATCTTTCAAGGATTTGTGAGCTCCTCACACAATCCAGTCTGGTTAAACCCAGGATGGATCGTAGGCAGGCCAGCCTAAATGTTTCCAACCGGAAAAGATGCTCCATTAGGGGGGTCCACGTTTCGCAATCGTAGAGAAGGGAGGGAATGACTGTGGCCGAGAAGGCCATGAAGCTTCGTGCGGAGCAACAGACCAGGTAGCTTCCACACAGCGTTACGCAACCGATGAAAAGATATTGCCGCTCGACACACACACACTCATACACATACATATCTTCATACAAATATCCTAATATAGCCGTAAGAGACTTAAATGAGTGCCTGGTGCAATGTGTAAGCATCGGCACTGGGGAGACAAAGGTGGACGGTTGTGGTGTTGGCTACCCACTCCTCGTGTGCCACGGGGTCTTCATAGGTGCTCGCTTGCAGCACTTGCCCCAACAGTTTGTAGTCGGCTACACGGGGGATCTTTGTCTTTATTTTCGCTTCACACGTTTGCGTGCTCGTGATACGGCGCGCGCGCGTGCAGCGTACGTACGTATGTTGAACTTCCTTCACACCGTACGTAGCCGACCGTGCTAATCGGAGGTGCGCGGCGCCTCTAGATGAGCCTCGCCCTCCTCGGCCGAGTCCTGCCCAGGTCGGAGGTCGCGGTCAACGACGCCGTCTCCGCGGGCGTCGTCTCCTCGCTGCTCGGCTTCCTCGAGGTGAGTGGCGGCTCCGCTCGGCGCCTCTCACCGCGATCGCCTCTCCGCTCGCCCCGTGCCCAGCGAGGGGCACAGGCGCCGGGTGGAGGGGGGGGGAGCGAATGGGTGGACAGGGAGGGGGTCCCATTTCATTCGTTGTGCCAGGGCCCGTGCCAACCGCCCTCGCCAACTCACCCTCTGTCCCTTGCCTCGCCTCGTTAGCGATAATAGGGCCAAACGAACACCCAGCCTCATGTTCTTCCCTGAGCCAGCGTTGACGCTTCGTGTTCACTACCGGAGGTTTTCCAACAGCCGAATTATTGAATCTCTACAGCTTCGATCCACACATAATCCATCCTCCTTTAACCACGACGGCACCGCCCGAGCCCAACTAATAGCCACGACTGCCACATTGTCTCGACGGCGCGGGGACGGGACCGTCCACTCGGCACCCGATGAACGGTCGCTTGCGTCGCTCGCTGCACGCCTCGACGCAGCGACGACTCCGCGTCGTTGCGGAGGCTCGAGTCGACAGAGGCATTCACGGTAGCAGGCAGAACCGAACGCATTTGTTTCGATTCATTGAGACTGTAGAATACAGAGAGCGACCGACAATACAATGCGCCTGGATATCGACATCGCGCTCTCGACCTGGCGGGTCCGCCACCGCCTTATGGCTTCATTTTGGTGATTTCGAAAACGTTTTTTGGTTTGGCCATGTTTGTTTGTTTGTTGTAGTACGGAGTTAGAATGATGGCTTTAATCTAAGTTGTCTTGTGGTTGTTGTTGTTGTTTGACTTGCATCCCACTGGGATTTTTGCACAGCGTTGGTGTACGGTGCTTTTTTCCTGGAATTTTCTGTTTGCGCGTAGTCACTTTAAAATGTTTTCTTGTTCATGTTTTTTGTTTGTTGCGGTTGCACCCGTTTCAAGAGCCGAATGGATCACGGGGTATACCTAATTAATTAAACTGAAAACTGAACCGCCGCAGCGCTGCCAACCGCGAGGGTTGCAACAACGAACCGTTGCCGTGTGCCGGTGGAGGAGGAGGTGAAGGGGGTGGAGGAGGAGGTGGAGGAGGAGGTGAAGGAGGAGGTGGAGGAACCCGTGAAGAGGCTTGCGACCTCGTGGCCTCCCTGGCCAAACCCCCAACAAGTCTCAGCGCGGTGGGGAGGCGGAGCGCCAGGGTCAAGCAGCCGCTCTCTGAGTTATAGTTTCGTCTTTGTAATGTTTTTGATCTGATTTGCCCCGGGGTGGTTTATTTATTATTTTATTTGACGTGAAATTAAAGTTTTGGAGAGGAGCGAGATAATGAAACGCTGTTACACATAAATCTGCCAGAGCACCGGCGCGTTCCGTGCCCAGAGCCTGCTGCTGCTGCTAACGAATCTCTTGCAGCATTAACCCTCGCACGTACCTCCTCCTTCCCGACTCCTCCTTCAATCCCTCGCCTTTCCTTCCCCGCCTTCCCTCCTCCTTCCTTCCTCCTTTATTCCTTCATTCCTCTTTCCTTATTTTCCTTCTCTTTCCCTCCTCCTCCTCCTTCTTCCCTCTTTCCTCCCTCCTCTTTCCTCCCTCCTCCCCTCCTCCTCTTTCCTTCCTCCGCCCGCCCCCTTCTTCCCACCCCTCGTCACCGACCCACCTCCTCAACCGCAGGAACAAAACTCCGTGGAACAGATTCAGAGCCAGCGCAGGAAACCAAAATGTGGGCAGCAGCGGTGGGGGGAGAGGACCGGGGGCGGGGGGCAGCGGGCGGGGGGGGCAGCAAAGAGAAAGGGGGGGGGGGAGAGGCGGAGGAGAGAGCGGGAGATGAGAAGCAAGAGGCACAGAGGAGCCGGCAGCGCAGAGCGCGCGGCAGAGAGGGAGGCTGGGCGAGGCTGCGGGGCTGAGCGTGAAGGAGTCTCGATGCGATACTTTATTAATTTCATCCCTAATGGCGGTCGTGGGAGACCTATGCCAGCTCCTCTCCCGCCTGCGCACCACGTTTCCATTTTTCGCACAAATTTTCATCTTCTCACCGCATCGGCCCCTTTTCGCGTCGTTCGTCGCATCTGCGTCCCTTTATTTCGTTCGCTTTCCGCTCACATCCATTGCCGCGCCCTCGGCTGTCGTCTCCGCGTGCATTTCGGGTCGAAGTTTGTCGCGGGCTGAAAGCCTCCTACGACGGCCGCGCCAAAGGCTCGCGCGGCAAGTGCTTTGCACAGCGATCGGCATCGACCCGCGCCTCCCCCTCGCCTGGAGTGCTGGTGGCCGGGCTCCAGTGCTGCCCCCACCACGCAAGTGCACGCTGGGTAAAAGGGGAGTGGGGGCGGGGCGGGGGGGTTCGTCTCATATATCAGGCGACGCCGTAAGGCAAGGCACAGGGACAGCTGCCACCGGGGGCACCCGTTGCAGTGCGGTGAGACGAGGCGCGATGATGCGAGTGGCTGATCGCGCGTAAAGCGCCGTGAGACGCCGTCCGTGTAAAGGAGGGCGGCTCCGTCAAAACAAGTCGTCAATTCTCATTATTCTCATTATCGTCATTATTATCATTATCCCAGTCAGAATCAACCCCGCTAATTCAATTCTTCCGAGCACAAACGCACGGTGGCAATCGTTAAAGAGTCCCCGGTAAACATGCAACCTCGGGCCCAACGTTCCACGTTTGCTGGACGATGTTGTTTCCGTGTCGATCGTCTCGCGCCGGCGTGAGCATCACGTGTCTTTGTGACGGTGCGGTCGCAGGCGTGAGCATCACGTGTCTTTGTGACGGTGCGGTCGCAGGCGCGGGACGGCGGCCGCGTCGCGGTGCTCGCCGCTCGGCCACTGGCGGCGGTGACGCAGAAGAACGCCGCGGCGCGCGAGCAGCTCGCACAGAGCCGGGCCGGTGAGGACGCGGCGGTGGCGGCGCGGGCACGCACACAGACGTGCACTCCCACGCGCGCACACGTGCACTCCCACGCGCACACACGTGCACTCCCATGCACGCACACACACGTGCACTCCCACGCGCGCACACGTACACTCCCACGCGCACACACGTGCACTCCCACACACGCACACGTGCACTCCCACGCACGCACACAGACGTGCACTCCCACGCACGCACACAGTGCTGTACGTGAGAAGGCCGATGCGTTATCTTTTCATCAGCTACCTAACGTTGCTTGCAAAACGTGGCCCCCTCTAAAGAAGGAACATCTCCGCCGGTTTGATAATTCAAGATGCCCTGCCTACGATCCACCCTGATTTAAACCAGACTGGATTGTCTGAAGAGCTCACCGATCCTTGAGAGATCTGGACAGGTCCCATCTGTGAGCTCCTCCGGCCGCATGGAGCGGGCTAAACAGTCTTGGTACGGGCTAGAGAAGAGATGGAGTGATGTGATACAGGAGGACGTGGAGCTGAGTAGACTTGCCGATGACCGGTACCAACGTTGTCAAGATCAGCCTCTATGGAGGAGACTCGTGAAGGACGCTGCTACTGGGCAGTTGGAGGCAGTCGCCCTCCAAAAACAACAGAGGGCAGAGACGCGACGCTCACAACAACGAACGGAGCGCTGGGCGTCTAAAACGCAGCAGGCGGTACAGTGGGGAGCACAGGTGGTGCATTTGCCAGTCATCTCAGTCAGTCAACCCATAGCACCTGGGTCTGTCCTGTGACCTCTGGCCAACGAGCCTTCGACATTTCACATGGCCTCAAAGTGCACGTAGCATGTAACAAGCGCGGTGGTGATGTCAGTGTCACTTGATGGCGAATGGCGGCTGTCGTTGTTGTTGTTTGGGGACACTCATGAGATGAGAACTGGCGCTGGTCCCTGGTTCCACCGTGGGTGACTAGAGAGGGATGTTGACGCATCCCTCCATCTCGGGGTGCCCACGCCCGTCCACCGCATGGCAGGCTAATGACAGCCCAGATGCATTCTGCAGGGCCCCTGATGCAATTACGGTTCCCAAGAATTAGACCTCCTTCATTTCCCGTAAAACTGATAGGATTGTTTGGAGCAATAATTCAATCCGTTTTAATGTAAAACATAAAGGACTATCCGTAACCCCGGCGATATTACTTAACCGAGAATATATTTAATCTTCGCGGTTCCATTATTGACGTCCTTAATTTAATAGCTCATGTCATTAAATGATAACGCCGCTCCGTGTCTTGCCACGCAACGCATCCCCTTGCGCCGATCAGCGGGCTGAGTTCTCCCGTCTCTGGTGAAGAGTTTGTGTACATCTATAGTGAAGTGTGTGTACTCTCATCTCTAGTGAAGTGTACTCTCATCTCTAGTGAAGTGTGTGTACTCTCATCTCTAGTGAAGTGTACTCTCATCTCTAGTGAAGTGTGTGTACTCTCATCTCTAGTGAAGTGTACTCTCATCTCTAGTGAAGTGTGTGTACTCTCATCTCTAGTGAAGTGTACTCTCATCTCTAGTGAAGTGTGTGTACTCTCATCTCTAGTGAAGTGTACTCTCATCTCTAGTGAAGTGTGTGTACTCTAATCTCTAGTGAAGTGTGTGTACTCTCATCTCTAGTGAAGTGTGTGTACTCTCATCTCTAGTGAAGTGTCTGTACTCTCATCTCTAGTGAAGTGTACTCTCATCTCTAGTGAAGTGTACTCTCATCTCTAGTGAAGTGTGTGTACTCTCATCTCTAGTGAAGTGTGTGTACTCTCATTTCTAGTGAAGTGTGTGTACTCTCATCTCTAGTGAAGTGTACTCTCATCTCTAGTGAAGTGTGTGTACTCTCATCTCTAGTGAAGTGTACTCTCATCTCTAGTGAAGTGTACTCTCATCTCTAGTGAAGTGTGTGTACTCGCATCTCTAGTGAAGAGTGTGTACTCTCATCGCTAGTGAAGTGTGTGTACTCTCATCTCTAGTGAAGAGTGTGTACTCTCATCTCTAGTGAAGTGTACTCTCATCTCTAGTGATGAGTGTGTACTCTCATCTCTAATGATGAGTGTGTACTCTCATCTCTAGTGAAGTGTGTGTACTCTCATCTCTAGTGAAGTGTGTGTACTCTCATCTCTAGTGAAGTGTACTCTCATCACTAGTGAAGTGTGTGTACTATCATCTCTAGTGAAGTGTACTCTCATCTCTAGTGAAGTGTGTGTACTCTCATCTCTAGTGAAGTGTGTGTACTCTCATCTCTAGTGAAGTGTACTCTCATCTCTAGTGAAGCGTGTGTACTCTCATCTCTAGTGATGAGTGTGTACTCTCATCTCTAGTGAAGTGTACTCTCATCTCTAGTGAAGTGTGTGTACTCTCATCTCTAGTGATGAGTGTGTACTCTCATCTCTAGTGAAGAGTGCGTACTCTCATCTCTAGTGATGAGTGTACTCTCATCTCTAGTGAAGAGTGTGTACTCTCATCTCTAGTGAAGAGTGTGTACTCTCATCTCTAGTGAAGTGTACTCTCATCTCTAGTGAAGTGTGTGTACTCTCATCTCTGGTGAAGAGTTTGTGTACTCTCATCTCTAGTGAAGTGTGTGTACAATCATCTCTAGTGTTGAGTGTGTACTCTCATCTCTAGTGAAGTGTGTGTACTCTCATCTCTAGTGATGAGTGTGTACTCTCATCTCTAGTGAAGTGTGTGTACTCTCATCTCTAGTGAAAAGTGTGTACGCTCATCTCTAGTGAAGAGTGTGTACTCGCATCTCTAGTGATGAGTGTGTGTGCTTCCATCTGTGGTGGTGGTGGGGGTGGGGCGGTTTCGCTGACCACGCTCGCCAAGAGGCTCCGAGCAGAGACCACAATTCGGTGTCGCCGATGAGTAATGGTTTCAATTCTGGCTCTCGGCTTCGTTTTTTTGTCGAAGACATTTCATGTCTCTGCCGTCGAGCTCCGCACACGCGCTCATACGCACACGCGTGTGTCACCGCACGCACGCACGCGTACACGCAGAAGCGACGTGTACTCGCCCGTTCGATCTCAAACACTCCCTCAATCGTGCACTCGCTCACTCACTCACTCGCACACTCAATCGTGTGCTCACCCGCTCACTCGCTCACTTGCACACTCACTCACTCGCACACTCACTCGTGTGCTCACACACTCACTCGCTCACTTGCACACTCACTCACACACTCACTCGCTCACTTGCACACTCACTCACTCGCATACTCAATCGTGTGCTCACACACTCACTCGCTCACTTGCACACTCACTCACACACTCACTCGCTCACTTGCACACTCACTCACACACTCACTCGCTCACTTGCATACTCACTCACACACTCACTCGCTCACTTGCACACTCACTCACACACTCACTCGCTCACTTGCACACTCACTCACTCGCACACTCAATTCTGTGCTCACACACTCACCCGCTCACTCGCTCACTCACTCACACACTCACTCGCTCACTTGCACACTCACTCTCTCGCTAGCGCACTCGCTCGCACGGTCTTCTCCGCACAGAGCCGCGGTGGTTCGCACGCTTCGCGAAACGCTCACTCACTCGCTCACTCGCACGCCCATAATGTTATTTATGGCAACTACAAGCGAATGCCGTCACACAAACTCACACAAAGACAAAGATCCCTCGTATAGCCTTAACATACTGTTGGAGCAAGTGCTGTTAGCGAGCACCTATGAAGGCCAGAATGGTACACGAGCGGGTGGGTGGCCTTTGTCTTCCTAGTGGCGATGTTTACTACACACAGCACAAAGTACTCATTTGAGTCTGAGTCGACCTAGGGGAGGCCCAGGATCAGTTAAAATTATCGTCACTGCTTTTGGCCTTGAGCAGGAATCGAACTCGGGTCGCCGGGTTCATAGCGCAGCGCGCTAACCACTGGCAAACACAAAGAAATGCTGTCACACACACACGTGCGCGGAGCCACGCGGATTCACGCACACGCACAAACACACACACGTGCATGCAGGCGCACCACACTGTGACAGATGGCTTTAAATTCCATTTTGTCAACGACACTTCCTATTTACCGACCCCTGACCCCCCCATGGGAGTCATTTCTGTAGCTATACCACCCCAAACTCTATTCCTACCCCTAACCTTAACCCTACCCCTAACCTGAACCCTAACCGTTACTGCTATTCTCAACTCTAAGCCTACCCCTACCGTTACCCCTGTTATGAATCCCTATCTCTCCCCAATTCTTAACCATACGTCTAGCCTTAACGCGTCCATTCAACCCCGCATGTCATCCCCTAACCGTGCCTAGAGACAGGTTTGGGGCAGGGTTCGGGTTGAGGTGAGAGAAGGTGACGGGTTACATTCAGAGATAGGAGTAGGTTAGGGTGAGAGGAAGAGCCCAGTCTTAGAGGGAGCTCCTCGTAGTCAGCAAGTTGTGAGTTCACACCCTGCTTTGGGGGTTGACTCGCCTCATCATCCCCTCGGAGTCGATACAATTAATATAAGCACGTTGTGGGGAAGCAAACAACCTTTTTACTCGTATAGACTCAAACTCGCCATAGCATTGTGGAATTCCCACCAAGATCTCATGACTGTGAACAGGAGATGAGCATCGGCGCCGTGGGGGTCGTGATGAGAGGTGAGGGCTCGAGGCAGGGCCGGGGCGAGGTTTGTGCTTAGGGGTAGGGGTAAGCTCACAGCGATACGAGAAAACGTTGCCAGTTTCCCATTCTTAGGCAGCCATCCCTCTAGCAATGCCTTCATTGATTATGAAATCCAACATCGGATCGCCCGAGCTCGTGCTGCCTTTGGCAAACTTAAGAACAGGGTCTCTTCGAAGACCACGACATTACCACCACCAAGACAAAAGTGTCTGTGTATAACGCTGTGATCATTCCAACCCTCTTATGTGGTGCAGAAACCTGGACCACCAATCGCAAGCACGTAAAATCTATCTAAATGTTTAATCGACGCTGTCTCAGGAAATACTAAACATCACCTGGGAAGAAA